TGTGTCATCTGCATAACACAGATTGTTGATAAATCGTCCACCAATCTTGAGCCCACATTTCTCCTCATAGAGCCCAGCCTCCCGGATAATCTATTCTGCATATAGGTTGAAAAGGTATGGAGATAGGATGCATCCCTGGCGTACCCCCTTCCCAAAAAAGAAACCATATAGTATTAATAAATGAAATGAGAACAGACCAGAGAATTTGGCACACTGAACCTGTGCTAAATTTCCTTCTAAGTACCTCTTTAACTACTTCTCAATTTATCATCTAGAACTTTGTCATCATTTAGTATTTTAGTATTTTCTAAAATGCATTATGATTCCTATTATTTTTCAACCCCTGTGTTATTTAGGACTCAATTTTTAAATATATCTTTTATTTATTTTTTTACCTTATTTATTTATACTTGTGTCACATTGTAATTACAATTTCATTCATTCATTCATACACCTTATTATATAGCATTAATTGGAACTGATTAATTAATACAATTTCTGCTCAGTCCCTTATTGTATATTTCCTATTCAAATATATCTCTCAGTTTCCTTAATAAATGCTCCATGTTTGCTTATCAGAGATCTGCACTGATCTGCACTGGGTACAGATTGAATTTGATTAAATTCTGTTTGTTAGTTCTTTTGCTGACATCTGTTACATCTTTGTTGTTATTGTACACTGTTGAGTTGGAACCAACCCATAGCTGACCCTCCAAAGGGCTCCCAAGGACCACGTGCCTTTGGGATTGCAATGCAGATACTTAACACTAGGCCACCAGAGCTCTCTACTTTCCCTCTGCCCCCAAATTGCCTTGATCAGTTCTTAAGGGGAATGAATGGACAAAAAGACAAGTGCAGTTAATAACATGGAACAGGGGATGCATGACTGATCCAATAAGGAGGGGAAAAGGAAGAAGGACATAGTGGGTGAAGGAGGAAGAAGACAAAAAAGAGTGCTAGGATGGGAGAAATTAATGGATGGGGGTGATAGACAAGGTGAGAATTTGATGAAATGCTGTGGTAAAAAAGGGCATTGATCAATGGTAATTAATTAATGTTTTAAAAGAAAATGCATGTGAATAACTGGGTGAAACTCAATTTTTTGAAAATGGAAGAGTAGTTCAAATATAAGATTATTTCCTTTGCAAAACCAAAAAAGCATAGCAAGATGATAAAATCTCCCAAGGTGAGAAAGATGTGTTGAAATCTCAACAGTGAATATGTCAATTTGTTGTTCCACTTCTACTGTTTTAGTTTCCTATATTTTTCTGAAAATTTTTTCACTTTTATGTCTAGATCTATATTACAACCAGAATATAGTTGGGTTTTGAAAAATCCACTCAATCTTAGACTTTCAGCTGGTACGCTTAGTTCTTCAATGGTTATTTTGATTATTGATAGAACTAGCCTTTTTCTTACTCTTTCACTCTGTTTTATTTCTCTCA